ACTGACTATTTACGAAATTACTTCCCATCTAGTTCCTCTGTTTTTAAATATGTGATGTTTAGGACAAGCATATATTTAAAAATCGGGTGGGAGTACTGTTTAATACTTGTTGCCCTCCTAGGCCCTGATAATTACAATGCATGACCATTTCTTTTACAGAGCTGTATTTCGACCGAGGGAACTTCTATGATTTCACTTCGTTAGGTGAGTTTCTGGTGCATGATATGCCAATAGCTCCTACACTGGATGTGTGCAATGTCTGGAGTTGTGATCTTTTCTTTTATGATAGGGGTCTTCAATTTCTGGGAACAGAGGCTAGTTAGTAATTATTATCAATTTTGCTGCAAAATGCTGTGTTCTCGTCCTTAGTTTCTGAGCTTTATATATTTCATTTGTTCTGTATCATTATCTTCTGTACCTTAATGCGTAAATGACTAAATCTTTAGCCCTCTTAGGTAAACCATTGTATCCTCCAAAGGGGTTGCGATGTGTCAATAGAATCCTATGAAATCAAAGTGGGTGTTACAGTTTACAAGTTACATCAACATTTACATTCATTTTTGTCAATTAATCAAATGTTTACAGTTGTTGATTCTTTTTTTAACAAATGAAAGTAAAGTGAAGCTCTATGAAAGCTTACACGTTCAGATTTATCAAGGCAATGAGAAAAACAAATGAAAACCACTTCTTTTAGTTAGACTGCTGGTGTAAAACCGTCACCTGCCTTGGCTAGAAAATAGAAATCTTGATTAGTACCTAAGATATCTCAAAAGGGTGTCCTCAACTTTGTGTTCTGCTAGTGCCAAGTTGATCAAGTGCTACTGATTGCATACATGTTATTATTGTGTGAGAAGCTATTATGACTTGAAATGCACTGTTTGTCCGTGCAGTACGTGAGTTAGATATTCCTGGTGAAATCTATGAAAGGAAGACATTTCCATTTGAGTTTTCAACTGTTGAAATGCCATACGAGTCTTACAATGGGACAAATGTCAGACTGAGGTAAGCAAGTGCTACGATTTAGCACTGGACTTTTATTATGTTTTGTTTTACATTTTACTGCTGCTAAAGATTTTAGTGATAAATTTGGGTTTTGCAAAAACTCCTGGACCATGTTTGGTATTGGTTTATCTTACGGATAATTTGAAATGTTGAATTTAATTGCACTTTTGAATTTGCTCTGTCTAAATACTGTTATTCACTTAAAATCTTTATTTAAATGTTCCAAGGCCAAGATTTTTATATTCCCAGTATATAGTATGAAAACTAGTTACCAGTGGGATTGGGAGGTTGCTATCTTGTCTGTCACAATGTCTAATATCTTCTTTCCAACGACTTATAAGTTGGAACATGTGGAAAGCTTCATAGAAAATCTGACGTCTAATACTTTTTACCGCCTTTACAAGCTTGACATAGGTTGGTGGCGTGCTGCCATTTGTGTAGTTCCATTGATTAGGGTTGTGCCTTTCTCTATGATAAGGATACATGGTTGAATTGCTGTTTTAGAACATATGTCTTCCTGTGAAAGATGCTAGGCTACAGTAAATTACAAATACACTTAATTTTTGGCTACTAAAATTTGGGAGAGCCATCATATTTTTCAAACTCATACTTGTCTATTTCGGCTGCAGAGATCAGATGACTAGTCCAATGTTAACCATATCGCATATAAATTTTACATCTGTATACTGTCGACTTGGGCCCCTCTTATGTCATTTCACTTGTTTGAAATGTCCTGCATAAAATGTTCATATGCTAGCAAAGAACTGAAGCACCTGTGAATACCAAGTACCCTTTATGTGTTGCAGGTACATTTTGAAGGTGACAATTGGCAGAAACTATGTTGGGAATATTGTCGAGTACCGGGATTTCTGTGTAAGTTGTTAACTGCTATTATACTTATCAGATTTTTTTGTTATGTTTATCACTATGCTATATACGTGCACCATTCTAGTTTTGCCATCATTAAGATGAACTAACTCATTAAAGACAATTCTTAATTTAATGTGTTCCAGCAATTAGCAAATTGCAGAGTTTATTCAGAATAATGATTTCTATTTCGTTTTCAGGTGAGAAACTACTCACCTGTCCCTACAATCAATAACAGCATTAAGGTGAGGTCTTATTTTCTTATTAATGGGAACTTTTCATTTGATGCTTGTAAGATACTCTAGCAACTTAGCATATAACTTGACCATGTTAGATTGAACTGGTACAATCTCCCATACGGCATTGTGTGTGCTTGGGGCCTTAACAATGTTGGCAAAATTTCTTTTCACAGTTCATGTTAGCTGTGGTCAGTGGTCACAGCAGGTTCTAGAAACCCCTGAAGGCTGTCCGTTTTCTTTCTTTCTGAAAGCTCTGAATTTTGGTCAGTCTTGTTTTGATAAAATGGGATACTTCATAGCCCAATAAACACTTTTGTCTCCTTTTAAGAATGGATACTTTTTTTTTAACTTGGACATGATCCAGGTATCAAATCTTGAAAATATCAGATTTGGAAGTTTGGAAGCAAGAAAAGAGATAAATTAGCTTGTTGTTGGTTACCACCCCAGGTCCTTTTCTTTTTGCGGAAAACACAGTTCTTGATCTCTGAGTAACTAAGCTGTCTGATACTCTGATATGATATTACCATTCTGACCTCTGACGTAATTGGATCGTAGATTCTGAGATCGTTATATACATATGGCTGTCTATTCTGTGACTTGTGTTATAATGTAAATGAGCAATGCTGTCCTGATGGTTTTAATTTGATAATCTGATTGCTCCAAGTATATAGATTGAACTGCTCTGATGTGTTGAAGTTCATTAGAGTTACTTGACACTTTGTTATGATTTTAAACAGAGAAACTTAACTGCATGTGTTTTTGCTTTGATGTGGTAAAACTGTTACGTAAGAATGACCTTTCTCAAAAGGGTGAATGATTATTTATTTCATTGTGCAATTCATGCTACTGATATTCCCCTTTTTAGATGGAAGTAGGAATTGAAGATTGCTTACATATTGAGTTTGAATACAGCAAAAGCAAGTAAGACCATAGCCGTCTGCCTATCTGCTTCGTCTATTCTGAGAAGTTGGTCACTTTAGAAACCTGCATGTCATATTCCCCATTTATGTCCAGGTACCATCTCAATGATGTGATTATTGGGAAGATATATTTTCTTCTTGTCAGAATAAAGATAAAAAATATGGAGCTGGAGATTCGGCGTCGGGAATCAACAGGATCAGGCTCTAACACATATGTTGAAACTGAGACTCTTGCAAAGTTTGAGTTGATGGATGGTGCTCCTGTGAGAGGTATGATAGCCATTTTGTTGCCACTTTTTCATTTTTCAAATTCTAAATGTTTGTCCTGTGCCCTCAAGTTTAGACAATGTAGTGAGTGCTTCCTTCTTTGTTGTGGAGTATTCATGTCCATTCTTGACCTCATGGGTGCACTCTTTTTCACTTGTACCTTTCTCAATACCTCAATTTCAAAGTAAAAAAGTACCTAAATACCTCAACTTGTGAGCAATTTGAAACATATATGAAGAACTGACAAGCTAGTTCATTTTGAGTTTACTACTGGTGCTCTTGGTTTTAAATAGTCACGTGGATGCTGATAACTGGAGATCTCTCAGTTAGCTTCAGCAGTCCCTTGTACAACTTGTGCCACTTTGCTGGGAACTATAGATATGGGTCCTGTCTGCAGTTGAATTAGGACTGGCTGCATGGATGCTCATCTTGGCAAACGGACCATGATGCATAAATTGACAACTTTTCTTCAGATGTTCACTGTCATGATTTGTTATTGTCCAATACCACCTACGGTTCGAAGCCTGAATCTGATGCTGTTGTTGCATACCTGCCTGTCCACATTGGAACCATTTGGTTGAGCTGGTATTGGACTAAATTATGATCTGTCCTTGAATTACACATTGATGGAACAAGGATTTGGTCTAATTCTAGCCTGTAGCCTGCCCAAACTAGGTCCTAACATGTTTCAATGATGTTGGTGTCGGTTTGCTGCATACCTAATCAAATTCCTTTGCAGGTGAATCTATTCCAGTGAGGCTGTTCCTGACACCTTATGAGTTGACCCCGACTTACCGCAACATAAACAACAAGTTCAGCGTCAAGTATTACCTGAATCTGGTCCTTGTGGACGAGGAAGATCGGAGGTACTTCAAGCAGCAAGAGATCACAATGTACCGCCTCCTAGAATCACCCCCGGCCTCCTAGATCCCAACCTGTAGTAGCATGTTCGCCTCTCAGGTTTTGTACAAGTGGGCGCTGAGGTTAGAGCAATGTCCTGTATATAAACTCCAGAAGAGCGCCACAGCTGACTCCTGCTAGTCTGATATGGCCATGCACGCTGCACTGTCGTGTTAATTTGTTTATGTCTTCGTTTTCCTTTCTACTCCTTCCCTTGATTACGACACCACCTTGATAGCCAGGGGTAGAATTACCTGCATGTTTATTTATCATCCTTGTGGTCTGCAAGAATCATAATGATATTATTATTTCAGCATTAGTTCATCTTAGCTGGAGCCTGGAAGCGATGTAATTTGTTTTGGTAAGTCGAACAATCTAGATTTATCTGTTTTTCATTCATGCAAACTCCCACTTAATCTTGGTCGTTGAACAATTCATCAGCTGTTCTCCGCCCGTCTACACCTAGTTAGCAAGATGTTCATCAAGGTATCCAATTCTTCGTCCCTTGACTGTTAGGACGCTATCAGATCTCTTACTTATTGAGCAAGTAGAAGGAAAGTAATATGGATGGCACAACTCCAAATGCTCGCCGCTTGATTCTTATTGCAATCCACGATTCCATGTCAGTTCTAAAACAGCAACAAAACAGATAGCCCACTGCAATCCGCATCACACCAATCTACTGCATTATTCCCCGGCCCCTAAATATGTCTATAAACCTCGGTACCTTAATTTCTTGTGCCACTCCACTCACTATTCCACTATTGTCACCAGCACACCTACAACACCTAGACGACTGAGGACCTCAAGCCAGGAGCCAGAAATCCCTCTGCCGCCTGGTGGTGATGAGGTATCCGCCGCCTCGCCGGCTCTTGCGCCGGACGGCCAGCGCCATGCACGCTGCGTGCTGCACGCAGTAGTCGGCGGCGCTGGCGCAGCCGGCCCCGGCCCCGCCCTTGACGCCGGCGATCCACATCGACAGCAGCCGCCACGTGACGGACGACCGCTTCTTCTGCCCCACGACGAGGAGCGACACGCCCTGCTTCCTCGCTGCCTCCACTATCGCCGGCCCGCGGTCCTTGCCGCCGCCCTCCGCCAGGGAAAGCTCCACGCGCACCTGGCAGAACAAACACATTACACGCGCGTCAGTCAGCTGCTTGCATTGGGCAGGAGGAGCCAGGAGGGAGGCACCAAAGTCAAGCTGGAAATGGAGGGCCATGATCCTGTCTGGGACGACATGCATGATGATGATGGTCAGCACATGCTGCCCCAGCCCCAACACCCCCGCTGTTAGCTGTGTGATCTTTGCTTGCAATTGCAGCTCTGTGCTGTTGGCATCTTTCTTTCCCTTTGATCTGACAGTAATGGGGCCCTCGTTTCTTTGCACTGTTTGACATAGAATGCCATGTCTCATGGGCGTGCTGACAGTTGGAAGGGAAAGACTTTAAGTAGCCAGGGAACTGTTTTTATTTGTCTGATTATCTACCAGTTGTATGTGTTATTCGAGTGCTGATGTTAATTATATGGGAATTTTCATCTATATCACTAGTTCACTGCTTGAGGGACACTTTTTCGTCTATGCCACCAAAGGTTAAAAAAAATGCCATAGAGTGACCACTGAGGTGTCGGCAAAGAGTTTTACAGCATCAGAAAAATCTGTGATGTCACTTCACATTATTCCAGCAACGAAAGGTACAATCTTTTGGACATTTCCATGTTCCATGAATTGCACGAATCAGTAAACAATGGTCCTTGTTTGGAAGAAAAAAGAATGTTCCGACTCTATAAAATTCTTACATTCCAAACAGCCTCATCAGTCAAAGCCACGCTACTGGGTGATAAGATCTCTGTTAAGATCACTTGTTATCACAGGGACGTACACATGCATGCTTGATTTCCATTGAGCCAAATTTGGGGATTATATATGAGCTGTTGCGCTTTGCATTTCGGCAGACACAAATCTATGGCGCAGCGCAAACAACAGAAAAATGCATCTTCGTGAGCAATTGAATCTTACTATTGTACATTCAATGGATTCTGTTGCATGTACGTATCAAAGAGAACACGAACGCAGCAGGTGATGACCTGTTCAACAGATACTTGTTGTACCATCCCAAATATGTCAATTATTTAGGAGGAAGGACCAGGCTATAGTTATGAGCTATCAGCTATGGATGGCATCAGATCAGGGACTCCTCTTTATAGACCATCACTAAGACACTGAATGCATACCATACCAGTTCTACCTTTGGAACACCATCAATGCCAATCTTAATCTTTCATGTTGCAGTTAGTTAGTTGTGAGAGGAAATTAATGTTGCAATTAGTGTCCCCTTACAAATCTTGAGGTTCGGTTATAGATTGTGCCAATGATGTGTTTAGATGTAGATACGGAACTTTGTTCAAATACAGCTAACAAGGCCAACCGATTTGAATCAAAAGTAACCCATAAAAGAATTTAGTAATAATCAGGATTAGCAGCACAAGCACAAGCACTAGAAAGTAGTAATATATCATCAAGTTCACTTTTCATCCTTTTGTCCATATAATTCCACTTGCTAAATTAATGCTGCTTGGAGGAGCTACTACTATCAAAAAGAAAGATTATGGCCTGTTTTCTTTTGTATCATTTGTGATTGCAGTTACCTCTGGTCTCTTGGCCTGGCAGATGCTCCTCATTGCCTCGAGGTGCTGACTGCTACTCCCTCTTGGATCGCGTCCTAATTTAATTGAGATGATTATGCACCAAACAAGAAAGGCAAACCCATCTTCCTAGTTTTTCAAACACGTAATGATCGAAGTGTGTAATTAATCAGGACGCGAATACTAGATGATTATGCAGCTTACGCACGGTTCTTGCCGTTGCCGCCGCCGCCGCCGCCGCCCCTGACGACGTCGAGCAGGACCACCGTGTCGCAGGGCCGGACGGCGTGCGACAGCGCCCACTGCAGCGCCGTCCGGGCCTCCTCGCTGCCGCCGTCCGCAGCCACCATCACCTTCCTCCCCACGACGACGGCCTCCACGCCACCCTTCTTATTAGCCTCCTCTCGATCGCCTTCCTGCTTTTCATCCTTCAGCGACTTGCATAACTCACCGCCGTCGCCGGAGGAGGCCTCCTTGTTGGCGCATATCGACGGCGGTGCGGCAGTGGACGCAGTACCGCCGGACCTGATCCGGTGGAGGCAGAAGGAAGAGAGGCAGAGCGGCCTGGCCATGGCAGGATGTTGTTCGTTTGCCGGGGTTTATTTCTAGTTCTAGCTGCAGTCTGCAGGGCGAGTTTGGTTATTCAGAGCTCAGAGGAGTGAACTGAAGGGAGGGGGCAGAGTGGCATGGTTGAGAACTTGAGATCACTGGCATGTGGGTCCCACTGGAAGTGTAGGGGCAAAACCATAAAATGTTCACAGTGATGCGTTTGTGTAGTTGTGCTTGTCCCATGCACATGCGGATGGTTTTGTAGGTCGGCTGCCGGCAACCTACACGCGCCTTTTTCTTTTCTTCTACCTATAATATCTATATATATCCTATGTATTTTACCTTTCTGATGAACTTCTAATTTTTAAATTGAACTGCTATAGTTTTAGCAATGGACTAATCGCAAAAAAAAATAGAGGATTAATAAACACATTTCTTACAATTTACTCCAATTTGATTAGTGACTATGAACGTCAAACCTTGCGTACTCTCTCCATTCCAAATTAAATCAACTTTTAAATTATTTATAAGTTAAACTACTTTAATTTTGATCAAATTTATGGAAAAGAACACACATCAAATTAGTATCACTAGGTACATTATAAAATATATTTTCGAAATGTATGCATTTGATAGCAAAGACGGGCTATTGGCCCCGTTCGCTTGTCTGAAAAAAGAAGAAAAACACTGTAGCGGCGGGTTGTGTGAGAGAGAAATACTGTAGCGACTGGTTGATGAATAGTACCCCTGTGAGGAGGAACCAGCCGGCTGGTCTGAAAACCAGACCAGCGAACTGGCCCATTTTTTCTTATAAAGTTGGCCAAACTTAAGATACTTTAACTTAGGATGATTCTAGGCATTAATTTATTTTAGGATGGAGAGAGTATAAGTGGAGACGGTCTGTGGCTATGAATGGCTATGGGAAAGGGGCATGATGGATATTTGCAGCATCAGTTCTTACTTTCATGTTTATATGGTTCTAGTTCTCAAACTTAATTTGTTCCCTCTGCTGGACTTTCTTCTTTATCTTAATATAATTTGTACTCCTACTTGGTTTCTGCTTGAATCGTTTTAAAAAGATACTCCTAAACATAAATGTCTGCTTTTAAATTCCCTAAATCAGTCTATATTCATGCCTATCTAATTTTAGGCGAAGTGAACTGGTTTTCACAGGACGGCTTTGCAGAGGTACGAAGCTTATAAATTCGAAACCGGACATGTTGCTTCTGGTGCATGAACGCGGTGTTAAATAGTAATTTCAGTCAACCGCAGTGGAATTAGCATAATTTCAATTTGATGAAACGAGGATGGACGGATGACCCTGTCTGTAAATTGTGTGGGAGTCATCAGGAAACACAGACCCATCTGTAAAGATTGCCTGTTTGCGAAGGAGGTCTGGGAGCTTGTAAAACAATGGACGGTTACAACGGATATTAGCACAGTTAGCTCATCTGGTTCTCTGTATAAATTCTGGAGGAGATGCAGAATGAAGGTGGACAAAAATCTGAGAATTTGACGGAATCATAATTTACTTCTGGTGGAACATCTGGAAAAGAAAGAAATAGGAGAACCTTCCAACATCAAGCTCTAAGTCCATGACAAGTTGCAACCCTATGCAAAGATGATATCCTCCAATACTGCATGGCAATGGCACCAAGGAGTGATGGAGCAAGTCGACAGTAGGGCACACAAATTTTTTCCCTTTCCCTGTTTTGTTTTTCAGGGCCTTTGGTGTTCCAGTTGTGCACAGTTGTTGTCTTTTCAGTTTGTGCAAGTAGAGGTGGTGTGCTTTCTTGTTTTGTGAAGTGGAGTATGTAATTTTCGCCTTTTTTCTTTTTATCGTCTAATAAAACCTGTGGCAAAGCTTTTGCCGTCCTTTTAAAAAAGAATGCGGTGTTAAATATCCATGTCCAGACAATGCCAGATGCAGTTAACCCGATGGCTTTCTATTTTATATTACATAATTAACAGATCTACCATCACACACGTTATTTAAATTCAAAGTTTCAAACATGTGTTGTTTATGGTTCTTTGGAGTAATCCCTATATCAAACAAATCATTGCATTTGATTAAGAACAGTGTGATCCAAGGAAAGAGGAACAAAGAAAGGGCATTATTATTCTGTCAATCAATCATCATGGCCCGTGGATCTAGCTTGAAATCCTAGCCTTTTGTTTGGTCATAAAGGCTGACATTGTAGCATGATTTGGTGACCAAAATGCAGGCATGTGTTTGACAAATGTGTGTCCTTTCCTGCTGGCTCATGGCCATCTACATCAATATATATGTACACATATTCCCTTTGTTCGTGTTTCATCACCGACAAGGCCAGCACAGCTCTGGGTTTGTTGCTATGTGCACTCATGATAGCACCACGTACGGGTCGTGAACTGGTGTTTTTTTCTTTATTTGTGATAGCCGTCATACTGATAGTGTGGTTTTCTTTTGCACGTTTGTGTGTAAGTAAGATGGGAACAGATTATTTGAACAAAAGTTGCCTTAAGTTTCTTGAGCTAGGTAGCTGCATCATGATGGCACTTTTTCATATAAGAGTCAGATGTGTGGCACTAGAAGCTGGACATTTGAATTCCAAAATTGTGGCAGCTTTAGCATAAAATAGGGAGGCTAGGTTATCATCATCTATCAGCCTGTTCATTTGGCTAGGCTTGTTCGTTGCTAGATCGTGAAGAAGTACTGCTGGCTGGTTTGGTGTGAGAGAAAAATACTGTTCCGGCTGAAAATTTACGATCGTTTACGAGGCAATAAGCCCAGCCGATCAGGGTTCCACGTACTTACATGAGTATGATGTAGAAGTCTTTCTAAAAGTTCATTCATCAATGCGTTTCCTACTTTCCTTGGTTTTGTTTTTTTAGGTTTAAAATAGCTTCGTAATAGAAAAATGACATGACATCTATGGCCCAACTAGGACTGGTCTAAGTCCGAAGTTTGATTCATAGTAGTACATTGCTACAAAAATGCAAAATAATATTTGAAATGTATTTTTATAAGATCTAATTTTATGTTATCTAGCTGTATAATTTTTATGTGCTCCAGTTGACAGTTGTTTATCAAAATGAAATATAAAACTTGCACACTTGAAATGGGTCATGGTCAAAGCCATCTATAAAAACAAACCCAATGTGTATTACTGCAAATAAACACCCAATTATTAAACGGTTTTATTTGTCCATCTCTACAAATTGCGTGAGAATCTAAAGTACAAGTCCAATACTAAGTTTCATTTTTCTTATAAAAGGGAAAGCTAATAACATCTTCTTTTCAACTTCTGTGCATTGGGCAGCATTTTAGGGAACAGTAGCAAAAAAAAATTCTTTTCTTTTTGATGAGTAAGGGGAAGGGCCAGCATGAATAGGCGAATGAAAAGAGAGCCCACCCAGATGGTCAAGTTCAAATTTATACAAAGTTGGGCCATTGGAACCCAAAATTGACCCATACGCCAAAGGCATCCTGGGCCTAATTGTCTGTCAGAGTGTCAGTGGAAGTAATCATCTGACTGGCCTTCAGAGCTCAGGGTGGGAAAAAACAGCTGAAATAACAGGAAGGACTGCAGCAGATTTTACAAAACCAAATCAAACTAGAGACGCAGACTGGAGCATTTGCGACCAAAAACTACAACAAACGACAGACCAGAGGTTCAGATACTAAAATGGGCAGGATGAACTCTAGCAACACAAGCAGAACGGTAGATCAGTAGACAGATCACAAATCCCCGTCATATCTGAATCGAGTTCTAGTAGTAGTAGAAATTAGATCGAGCTCGAACCAACAGCATGCATCATCTGAAGACATGCAGTTCAGTGCTGCTCGTGGCGTTGGCTGACGGCAGGTGGCTGGAGCATCCACCACGGCAAGCTGATCGCCGCTCCTGGTGGCGCCGCCGCCGCCCTAGCTTCCTGGCTCGTCGGAGTCGTCGGGACTGCAGTTTTTGCCGGTAAGTTCAGGTGGGGACTTAGCTTTTCTTGAGCTGAAGAAGGAACTGAACAAAGAACATGCGAAGCACAAGCACCCGATGGATGCTCTGTTGCTCACCAGATGTTCAGGTTTGGAAGGGCGGCTGCTACTGCCGTAGTAGAGGAAGCTGCGGTGTTGGTGGTGTGCAGGGATTCCCCCAGTGCAGCCTTCTCCTTCAAACATGAACACAGAAGCACTTCCAGGTCAGATCAGTTGCGCTGAGCTCAAACTCCATGAAAAATGCATTTGGGAGGTAATTAACTGATGAGAAACTAAAACAAAGACAACTTCCATTGAAATAGAGTGCAAGGTTTCACTTTGAGAAGTACATGTGGGAATTGGAGATTCTAAAAGAGTACTGAAAAGTGTGTGTTATGTGATTACCTGCACTACCAAGGATGTTTTTTTCGCAGTTTTTATTAGAAAGGAGAAAATAAAAAGCCAAGTGCCGGCCAATTTTCTGAGTGAAAACCAAGGCCGAAAACCATTTGGCTAGGGAGAGCGTGCCGCCCACCTGTACAACTTCGGTACAACGACCAATTAATTAACTTCACACCACTACTAGCTCATGTATGCTATGTATAGCCAACTTGGTGAAAACTGACCCAACTAGGAACTAAACCAATGATGCTTTGTTTGCTGTACAGGTGTAATAAGAAGATTTGTTACCTTCTCTAGAATGCTATTTTGTTCCATCAGAAAAGCTTCCTGCAAGTAGGGATTAAAAATACAAAACTTCCAATTACTTCCACCACCTCTCACAAATAAAAACATGAGAACCGAAACAAGCAATAATAAAGAATTTGAAGAGCTAATTAAAAATCTAAAATTGATCAACATTCTAGCTACTTAATTTGCGATAGAATAAACAAGTTGTTTTTATTAACTATGTAAATTAAAGGTAATTGCTTTATTTGGCATATTTGCCTTGTTTCGGAGCTCCTCGATCGAGTTGAGCAAGATGTGGTCCTGAAATAGATAAAGTAGGCATAAAAAAGGCACTGTCAGCACTGACGTGTGAGTAACAGTTGTAATATACATTATGTGTAC